ATGATGCTGCCCTGATGTCCAGAAGACAACCCAAAGCAGCTATGCCGCTGCTTGACTTGGTCCGCTATGCCTGACTCTGCCTCGAGCTGCCCTGGTGCAGCGCTACCCCAACTGGGGCCTTCCAGATGCAGCGCCCAACAAGGTGATGAAGACGGTGTCCACCATAGCCAGGTAAGTGCCCTGCCACTCCCCTACCATGCCCCCTTCTTCCTCCTCCTCAAGCTGGGTTGCTTGCCGTAGCCAGGCTGAGCTCCCAGCGGCCCTTCTCCCTCCAAGCAGCGCTGTACCTCCAGCGCTGTGCTCCAGCAGCATGTCGCCTATCCTTGCACACCGCAAATGAGGAAGAGCTCTCCGCTCTTCCTGAAGATATAGCGGCCTACCGGCCTCCTGGGCGGTGACTTCCTAGGCCAAGCAGCCTCCCAGCAACCGGTACCTCCTTTTTTTGGAGGGAAACATCATTGCAGGCTCTGTTATTGTCCGCACAGGCCCTAGACCCGGGTTACTTGGACTGGTACCGACCTACCTCTAACCTACCGTTACTGGGCCACTAAAAATGCCAACTTTTTGTCTTCTTCTGCTCGGCCTACCCGCTACTTGAGTGTTTTTCCCCAGCTGCTCTAAGTGCCGTGGGCCTACTCCCCGCTACCGGCGTGTTTACCCCTCTGCAACCCTTCAAAGTCACGGCCACAGGTAAGTACCGGCCTGGTGGGCCTTGCAACCAACAAGCACCCTTGCGGGTCACACACACATACCCAACCAGCAAGCACTCAGACAGGCATGCAAACCAGCAGGCACGCACACACACACAACCGGCAAGCACTCAGACAGGCATGCAAACCAGCAGGCACGCATACACACAGACTTGGGACCACAGCAGAATGCGGGAATCACAGCAAGGCATTCATTCCATTGGCAAATCCCAGAAATCAGCAGTGTTCCCAGTCTCTGTTTCTGGCGGGTCATTACAGTTCTAAGTTCCAACTTATTTGGAAGAGCCTACGAATCATCCACGTTCAGATTCGAAATTTACAACCCCTAAGCGCTTGGCGATAGGTAGGTAACTACCTCGCCTGCTGCCCGAAGGGTAATCACGTGGTTAAATCGAAATCGTAAAGTAGGAGCGGATAGCACAAGGTGGATTGAGCGATAGAACTAAAACAAAACTCCCACCTTCAGTGGGCTGCTGGATTGCAAAATTGAAACTTGTTCTGTGTAGTACTAAGCTGCACCCGATTGAACCCCGTTCGAATATTCCCAGCGCCAGACTACTACTCTACCTTCCTCGGGTATGTGTGTGTGAAACCCGGAGGATATCTTACCATTTAGTGCGTTGCAGACAAAGCAGGAGTTCAAGCTAACGGGTATTCTCCAATATGATATAATAAGAAGGCGGGGGCACGGGAGGGGGAAGGGTGGGGAGAAGGCCAACGGGGGCTTGGGTAGAATGGAGTAGGAAGGGGGAGAGAGAGAGAGAGAGAGAGAGAGAGAGAGAGAGAGAGAGAGAGAGAGAGAGAGAGAGAGAGAGAGAGAGAGAGAGAGAGAGAGATTTCGTATGCCGGGGTGCGCGGCAAACCGAGCTGCAAGAAGCGGTGTGAGGAGGGGCAGTGAAAGTGGGGAGTGTACAGGTCGGTAAAAACGAAGTGTATGGGAAACTTTAAGAAGATGGAGGGAGAGAGGGCGGGAGACCACCCTTTTCTTGGCTGCGTGCAATCCCCTTCCACCACTAACCGAAAGAATTATTTTTTAGTATGCTACCATTCGTATGCAAGTTAGGTATCTGCTCAGTTCAGAGTGTAGATAGAGTTGTGGAAGGGCGGGTTGTCGCAGGAAGAACGTTAGCAGGGCGCCTTGATTGTTGCTTGGTTTCAGATGGCGGGGCAGAGATGACAATGGCGAAGCTGAGAGAACCAAAGTTCTGCAGCAAGGGGTCTCGGGATCCAGAAGAACTGACGTGCAAGGGCGGGAGCATGGTCCCGCTAGCAAAGGAAGTTGGAGTGGAAGTGCTCTGTCTGAGGTCAACACCGCATCAGTGAAGAAAGTGATTGCGATGGGGAAGAAGAAAAGAGAAATGAATCGGGCTAGAATGGACGCACACAAGCAGTTCCGAAGATAAGTCATTTTCCCCAGCGTGTGAATGCCGCACAATAAACTTTACACGACAATAACATATTTCACGGTCACAATTCTTCAAATTTTTTGCAGCAAGAATAAATAAGACAAAAATAAATAAGGAATGAGGGCATTCAATTAATTTCTATAATTTATAACTCTGTTGATTTCCTATGTGATGACGTTCCTACTTGCGACTGTATAGATACCGCAGCCACGACCAGTGTGATCAAGAAACCAACACAAGTGGTGTGAAACGGTTTCACCTTTGCAGTAGCAGATGCAGATCCCAGGGCTCGATCCCTAGTCCTTACCCTACCGTGTACAGTACCTGTGTAGACCCCGAGAGTTGAAACCGTGACCTGTGTATTCGTAAGCAACTGGTAGGCTGTCATAAGTCCGTAGGTTGTAGGGGTTCGATCTGTAGGTCTGTAGAACAGAAGTCTTAGTGAAGTCTAGAAGTCTTAGCTGTGGTCTTCTAGAAGGTCGGCAAGTGGGCAAGTGGGCAAGTTGTGAGCCAAGTGGTGGACTAACTGCAGTACGATTGCAGTACGACTTCAGTAAGTTAGCAGTGAGTCCCCAAGCAGTCAGCGGTGCAGTCCAGTCAGTCCCAGTCCACTCCAGCAAGTACCATGAAGGACTGTGTGCACCATGGGCCGATGGAAAAGGGGCAGACCCACGAGCTTCAGAAGTATAAATCAAGAGGCAGCGCCCAGCCATTCATTCATTCCTGCGTGAGCCACGTGGAAGCGCTGCCACAGCGACTTGTGCAAGGAGGTCTGCAGTGAGCCCGGAGCCGAAGTGGGTGAGAGAGAAGGAGTGTAGCATAGCGATAGGGTAGTAGCAGCCATAGCCGCCATAGCTAGAGTTAGTGTTAGTGTGTGTGTGTGTGTGAGTGTTCAGAGAGACGCGCGTGGGATATCCAGGGTGATCCACTGTATGCGAACAAAGAGTTGTATGGGCGCTATATCG